CCAAGAAAGACGAGAACCGCAACAAGAATCGCTATGGCAACATCATCGCTTGTGAGTACTGCAATGTGATGGAGAAGTAACCGCTGTGGAAGTTTGAGTCTGTGCTGAAAGTGACTTCATTCATCGCCGCGTGGCGTTTGCTTCGGTTCACTCTGGGTTGGTTCTGTGTGGTTTATAGATCCAGATATTTATCTCTGCAAGTTTGAGATTATTTTATTTGCATGATGGAGATATGGCAAACCCCAAGAAAAGGTGAAATCTGTTATTGGTTCAAAAAATACAACCCCAAAGGTTCGTCTTGATTTCAGGGTTTGGGTGCTTTCCTCCTGTACCTGACTCGTTCCATATGTAAATATTCACCACTTCTCAGGCAGTTTGGATAATAATGATATTAATAATACTTTATTTGTTTATCCATTTTCAGTACAGGTGAAAAAGTGCTTCACAGTGTGCAATAAAAACAAGCAAGCATTGAAAGCAATTTAAGAATGAAAGAAAAGAAAACGAGGGACTGATTCTGCCGGTCTGGTCTCCTCTGGCAGGCTGTTCCAAAGTCTGGGGTGGAGAGAGACACATTTAGAAAACTCTTTATTTGGGGAATGAAACCCATTGAAGCAGAAGTACCAAACTGTCCTTCAGCTGGAGGACACAGGTCCTAATCTCTGTGCTGGCAACCATCTGCACCAGTGTCCTTCAGCGAGTCACCCACTGACTCCCCCCTGCTCTTGGTGTGTCCCACTGTAGGACCCCTGTAACCCCCCCGCTGGGAGCCAGATGCCTGCAGAACCAGGTTCTCGTTGATAAGTCAGTCGGAACCGGTAAATGTTGAACACTCGACGCCTAACTTCTGTGACAGATATTCAGTCAAAGCACAACAACGGGCACATAGGCATACCTAAAAAAGATGAAGCGTCTTTCAGAATCTAAATAATTTGTATGTGTAGTCTCGTTTAAAGTTCTGAATGTCTGATTCATGAAAGTGCTGCAGAAAAAAAAAAACTTCTCATAGAGCGATTTGACTCCTCTCCTGCCTGATGATCAAAGCCTGCAGCGCCTTCTTTATTCACAGAGACTTTTGTCAAAATGGAGCAAAGACAGGCTGCAGTAATGATGTGCAGAGTGACTGCATGTAGCAGTGTGTGTTTGTGTGTGTGTGTTTGAGTGTGTGTGTGTGTGTGTGTGTGTGTGTCGCCCATTAGAGTGAGAATTAGCATGTGAATGTGGTGCTGTCGAATATGTCAAGTGTTTGCCGTGATTTGTGAGCACTAATGAAGTCTGTTGGATTTGATGTTTTCTGGATGAGCGTCTGTGTTAGTGTGTGTGTGTGTTTGTGTGTGAGGCCTCTTGAACAATGTTTGCATGAATTGTTGTGGACTGGTTTCTGTCTGTCTTCCCATTAGACCCGCATGCACACCCATGACCAGTGTGACCCAGAAGATTGCATTAGTTTGCATTAAAAAAAATTCCTGTGTGTGTGTGTGTGCAGGCAGAGAGCCGTGTGTGCGCACGTCTCATTATGAGGGTTTAGATGTCAGAGCGGAGACACTGCACTAACCTGAAGGCTTTTAAATGAAACACTGGCTGGAATGAAATAGCCTGTCAAGGATTTGATAGCCAACAGGAATTATGATAAATTTGCTATTAGTACAAATCCTTTAATTACAAGAGCCTGGTAATGGAAACTGTCCATCTTGCTCACTGTGATTGTACAAAGGCTCATTTTCTTGAGAAAATGTTTAAAAGGGCTCCCCGGGGGGAAACAAGTCTGTGCGCTGTCTTTATTAGGAGGAGGAAATGTGCAGAGACGGGCAGGCGACCGCTGCAGCTCACACTTTAAATATCTGCCTTCTTTCTTCTTCTTCTTGTGTTGAACTTTTATTCCCCTTTGGGAAGAAATGGATTTTCCTCCTGTCTCAACACTATATCTGATCCTGCCTCACGCTCTCTGCGGAGCTCTGTTCCCTCGCTCGAAGCTCAAATGTTCACATCCACCACCTCGTCATTAATAGTCTTCAGATTATTCAACTTCATTGAGAGTTAAAGTATTATAAGCATTCAACAAAAAACTGTTACTTTTACACATATTAGCAGGGGCGTTGACAACATTTCTGGGCCTCTCCCATGACCACCTCCAATACACAGAGTCCTAACAGCACGGCATGGTTAAATATCGCGTAACATCGCTCATGATCGCACGCTGGCTGTCCACACAGCATCCGTAAAACATTTAATTCTTTGCTCTGTGAATTTCAGTTTCCCCTTTGCAAGCATTATGGCATCATGTTGTGCTTTTATTTTGAAGGTGGACAAACTGAAGTGTGGTGCTTTTATTTTAAAGGTGGAAAAACTGAAGTGTGGTGCTTTTATTTTAAAGGTGGACAAACTGAAGTGTGGTGCTTTTATTTTGAAGGTGGACAAACTGAAGTGTGGTGCTTTTATTTTGAAGGTGGACAATCTGATGTGTGGTGCTTTTATTTTGAAGGTGGACAATCTGATGTGTGGTGCTTTTATTTTGAAGGTGGACAATCTGATGTGTGGTGCTTTTATTTTGAAGGTGGACGATCTGATGTGTGGTGCTTTTATTTTGAAGGTGGACAAACTGATGTGTTGTGCTTTTATTTTGAAGGTGGACAAACAGAGGTGTGGTGCCTTGTATTAACGAGCTCTTGACTAAAGTCACAACTCAGAGGCTCGTCGATAAACGGCTTGTGGTGAGCTGAAAAAAAAGCGTATTTCTCCGGTGTCGAAACAGGTCAAAGGTCAACATTTCAATCCCAGATGTGGATATTATTAATGCACCGCTACACACCTTTGTACAACAAGCCAACGAGCTCTGCTGAGGGAGAAAAGCGAGTCCCTACAAACGCCCTCCTTCCTCGTCGCTCATCCGTCTAAGCGAGCGTCAGAAAGGAAAATAGAAACCGGGCGTCGGGGTGAAAATGTTGTGCCACACCGCGCTGCCTGCTCGTGGACAGTGAGGGAAACAGTCGAATCAGGCTGATTTTGTCGCTGCCGCTCGCTTGCGTCGCGTGCTGTCAGGACAGGCTGTTACACAAGAGACCCATTAAAAGACTCAAATTAAGCTCATCACAATCTTCTTTTGACACAACACATTGTAGAATATACAACCTTAAGAAAGAAGGAGCCACATCAAAACGTGGACGCAAAACTCCTCTAAAGTGAATAAATGTTGCCAATGTGGCCGAGCGAATAGATGCTTTTGCATGAAATGTTTGGCCATTAGAAACACAAGTGACACAATATTGGAGGCCTGGGACTTCTGCTTTTGTTGCTGTTGAATTGTGCCAGCTTTAAAGGTGACACAGTTTGCCGTTTCTTTACATCCTAAAAAGTCTTTTGAGTTTGAGAGCGGAGAGACAGAGACAGCAGCAGCATGTCGACGTGTCACAGGTTCAAATGTGATCCATGTTTTGGTCCTTTAAGTCTGATCTCGTCTCTCGGAGAGTCATCACGTCGCTCTCGCCCATGCTCGGCAGATCTCAGCGAAGGAGCTAAATGTGTGTCCCGGGCTTTTGTGCGACTTAAACCAGCCGCCGAGCTCTGCCCGCGAGAATCCCCTCAGATGCTGCTGTTAGCATCTCGCTATCTTTGCGAGGACTTTTTGGTAACCCCTCCATCACATCGTTCTCTTTTTAACAAACACACACAACACATAGTTTACTATCCCTCTCCCGCCCTCTCTCTCTCTCTCTCTCTCTCTCTCTCTCTCTCTTTCTCGCTCGCTCGCTCTGTGCTGCAGTTTGGAGAGGGCTGATTGGAGTTGAAGTGTTAACACGCTCCTCTTCCGGCCATCTGCCAAACACAAACGGTGGACGCCATGTTTGAATCCCTTCAGCACTCTGAATAAATGTTAATCCAGCAGCCTCCTGTCCTCTCGTCTCTCCTCCTTTTTATCGTGTTTACTTCCATTTTTACACTTTCACTCCCCCCCCTCTCCCTTCTTCTTTCCTTTCTCCCAAATCCTTCCACACATGTCTCACCTTGTTGCTCCTCATTTGAACTTTATCTCTCCTCCTCCTCTTCGTCTCTTCTCTCTGCTCATGCCTCATTGTTCAGTTTTTCTAACACTTCCTCCTCGCCCTCTCCATCCCTCCATTCATCCAGCGTGATTACTTCTGACAGTTTTTGGGTTGAGGCACGGCGCCACAGTGTTTCCTCATTACAGGCATCTGTCTGCTTCTATCTCCTCCCTCCCTCCCTCCCTCCCTCTCCTCCTCTCGGCTTCTTCTCCTCCTTTTCTCTCTCCTTCTCGGCCCTCGGTTCACACAACGACCTCCCCATATGGTAATTTATAATTCAACAGAAGCATGCCTTCAAAATAAACAGCATTTCTTGGTGAATATTTACATTTGTGCTGAGAGGCGACGTGTGTGTGTGTGTGTGTGTGTGTGTGTGTGTGTGTGTGTGTGTGTGTGTGTGTGTGTGTGTGTGTGTGTGTGTGTGTGTGTGTGTGTGGTGTGTGTAAGGCCTCCCTAACATACCATAAAGTTAACCAAGAATGACTCAGAAGGAGGAGACCAAAACATTAAACATTAAAGAAGGGCCACACAATGTATCAAGGAAATAATCTCATTTAATAAACAAACAAACAAAAAGGACTGGAGATCCGGCTAAACAGTATAAAAGACGGGAAAGTGCCACCTCCCCCTAAACTATCGACCAACAACTTATCTACAGAAAATGAAGGAATCGAAAATAGGACTACCAGTCTCTCCAGCCCAAACTAAAATTGCAAAACCAGCAATCTGAACATGCATGAGGGAAAAACCAAAACAAACCTGGAACAGGGAACAATTTAAGGATAAATGAACGATCTTCACCGTACCTGCGCCCAAAGTTTTTATGTCTGCCTGCCCTTGTCTCTCCCACCTGGCTCCTCTAAATCCCCCTCCTCCACACTCTGAGCAGGGAACAGGTAGAGGGAGGAGGGAGGAGGGAGGAGGGAGGAGGGAGGAGGGAGACCAGAGAAGCAGAGAGGGAGAGAACAAGGGTCGCACATAACAGTGTGTACCTGGGTGGGTGTGTGTGTG